GGTGTTTTGCATGCACCGAGGAATGTGGCATTACATAACATTCCTATAATGTTAGGAACTAATTACATTCTTGCACTGGGCCCTATATTACTTTTCTGACACACTCTCTTCAAGTTCTTCATTACAGCGATAATCCCTGCTTGATACAAGTATCATCACCAGCTAGCTAGTTTTTGGGAGGTTGGTGAAATTCACTGAATGATAAATATCTCTGGCACAATGATCATTCACAAATTGGGACTAAGGTATTCTATAATAATAATAGTGAACTTTTGCATAAACTTAAAAGCATTGGACACAATAATAATGTAGCCTGGCCTGGTTAAAGTTTTGACGTAAACTTTCCACAGCTAACTGTATAGCTTAATGTTCACATATCCTGCACTACCCCGACAATAGCAATTGCTTCAATTTCCACTTTCGCTGCCTGCATGACAAGATCCAGTCCAGACATAGACAGGATAAACACACACGTCATTTTCCCACCTCTGGTAGCTTAGCAGTTTGATAGGCTGCTCTTGCTGGTTGCTTGTCAGTGAAAACTCATTATTTTTCTGAAAGAATGACACGGTTGGATCAGCCATTTTGTCCTTTGTAAGGGAGTTGTCCTCTTTTTGGAGGTTAAAAATGTAGAGAAGTGAGCATTTGGGACCTCAAACTGTGTCCTTTATTGGGAGGTTTTTTCTATTATGTCCTTTATTCAGAGATTTTACTATGAAATTGAGAGGTTGTGTCCTTTATTCGCTGTATGCTAAAAATTCTGACCATTCTTGATTGAGTACACAGTCACACATTAAGTTCTGTGTTATTCTCCATAAATAACGGTCGGACTAAGCCACATCCAAAGCCACACAGAGACAAACCAGGAAAAAAGGAGCACCACCTCCTTATATATGTTATATACTAAGTAGCACGTTCGGTACAAAAAAGGACCCTCTAATTAAAGAACACCTCCTATATAAGGGACACTTGGTTCTGTCCCACACAAGTACATTAGTGAATTTTACAATCCTAAATAACGGACACCTTTGAATAAAGGTCACTTCCAATGCCCCCAAGGTGTTATTCAGAGGTTTGACTGTACTATCTTGTTCTGTTTGAAAAGGTAGTGGAGGGTCGTCCCCAGAGCCAGCAGTGTCTCTTGAGAGTTGGCAATGGGAAGAAACACATCAGTACCATCGTCAGCACCAGAGAGGTCACCAAGTTAATCAGATTGTGAGCGGAAGAGAGGGAGAAAGGTTACTGGAAATGTCATACTAATGAGTTTGTCCTCTTTTACGAGAATAAGGGACACCTTTAACAGACTTTTCCTTTATTTACAGATGTCCCTTACTCAGAGGTTCTATCTTTTAGTCTGGTCCCATAACAACAGAACTCTCCATCTGAAGCCCGTACGCATTTGCGGTAGCATCGGCTTACTCAGGTTCTGTAATACATTAAATATAGGGGCTGAACAAAGTGTCCTGCGTAGAGAGGTGTCCTCTATTCAGAGGTTCTGTAATACATTAAATATAGGTTATACACACTTCTCATAATTATATTATATTTCTTGGTTGGGTTTGAAGAGCTCCAAGCAGTAGCACATTGTTCCTCTCGCAATCCTAACTTTTCGCGTTGCGAATACCTGGCCTCCTGGCTGGCAGATTATGGAGGCATTGGTGGATTAGCCTACTGACAGGGTGGTCCTCGCGAAACTGGCCACATTCATGGAGCCAATCGTTCACATGTTCCATGTAGTGACTCTGTCGCTGCAGCTCAGTACGTGCCACTAGCAAGCCACTCTTTTCATCAACGTAGTTCCCACCTTATACTCCCTTACGGTAATTTTATGACTCATTTAGCTAATACGATAATACTTTAGTAGTTATAGTTAACCCTCGGCACGCATGCGCAGCGAGGGTTACAGTAGTCATTCTGTCATTCTGTCTGTCTGTCTGTCTGTATGTCTGTCCGCGCGAGTTATCGCACTACAGGCTACAAGGCGGCCAACGAGAAGTTTGTGGATGCGGCCATGCCTTCCCATCTAAGCGTAAAGCCCAGTCTGGCAATATATCCCAAGCAATGAAGCATAGTAGAATTAACATCCCTCCTATACAGGCTATCCATCAAATATTTCATACATGATAGGATTAAAGGAAGAACTCTCATTTCTACGTTGAAGGATCCCTCTGAGCTATATATATTATATTATCAAAGCACAGACACTCCATCCCGTCATGTTCAAAGCACAATAATGCTCCTCTCATAGCTGAACAGTGTTACTGCAACAACATGTCATTTGGTTACTCTGATAAGCACTAATGAACTCATAGCAGATACCCTTCATCCAATTTGTTCATCTTTTATTCAATTTTGTAGTTACAGTGGAACCTCATTAAAATACGAACACTGTTAAGCGAAATAACTGTTTGATACGAACCACTTTGAAATAGCCCACCTAGCTTACAAAACCACAAACGTGCGCATTTTGAGCCGAGGGTTTGCACTTTAGTGCTTTTCATTTTTCCTGCAAGTTGGTAATTAACCCTCGGCGCGCATGCGCAGCGAGGGTTACGGTTTGTCTGACTGTGTGTGTGTCGACGCTTATTCTGGCACTACAGGCTACGAGGCGGTCCATTAGTGATACCAGCGGCTTCAGAACTACGCGAGCCAGAAAACTAAAAAGGCGATTTTCTTGAAACGACTGCGTTCAAGAGCGACAAACTGGCACGGTCGCGGACCGCGTTGCGTGGCCCAACCCATCTATAAGCGGTGCACATGCGTATATTAGACGCAGTATGTCGACCTGATTCGCTTGCTCTGTGTACCTTGGAGGCACAAGAAGCCACAGCGAAGGGTGTGTATCGACTCCCGCGTGCTATCTACTAGCAGGCACTGCGGGTAAACGCCAGCCTAGCCCACATTAGCGTTACCGCGCATGCGTAGTTCGTAGAGGGTTTTATTTCTATGACTATGAGAACTTAATGGCGGCACCTGAATTCTTATGATAGTGCCACTTAATCAGATCATGACACACACCGACAATGAACTCATTGCGCATGTGGAGGGAGAGAGCCTACAGACAAGGTTATTATTGCTCGCAGATGTAAATTGCAAACAATCATGAAGAAAGCTTGTGAGTCCAAGAATAATGCATTAGCAGATTCCAGTGGTGAGTGATTGATAGATATGAGAGCTACACTTGTGTGTTTACAAGCAGCCTGATCCACCACAATCACTGAAGGGAAATGAATATCCTCGCCATGTAGACAGACATTGCATTCCTGCAGAGGCCTGCAAGGGTTTATGAGCGTGTAAGCGCTGGAGCAGATGGCTTTCTTCACCAGATTACCTCAGATTAATTATCCGCAAGTCTCGCTCCCGATCTCATGCCAGGCATGTTGAAAGAAATGTGTGAAGAGTGCATAAGTCAGAAGGAAAGAAAGAAACAAAGAAAAATCGGGACACACACCGATGACTAACTCACTGTGCCTGCTAAATGAGGGAGAGTCTAGCTATGGTCAAGGCTAAAATTGCGTGCATAGGAAGTAATTTGCAAACATGAAGTAAAATTGTGTCCAATTAGCAGATTCCAGTATATAGGAATTGATTAAAGAGCTAATAAAAGACCATCTGTCCTGTACTGAAGACACTATGGGTGAAGTAGGTCAAAACTAATCATTCACCCGCCCTCCCGATCAGGTAGATGTGCATGCACAACATTGTAGGCAAAGCATTGGTGAAAAAGTTTTAGTCCTGGAGAGAAAGAGGCTAGTGAAAACCTAGCGAGCGAGGGTTACAGTAGCTACTTGGTTTGTATGTCTGTCTGTCTGGCTTGCAGAATAATTCATTGTGTGTTTGTGAACTTGGATATGATCCACTAAGGACAATATTTGAAATCAGACATACATAGCTACTTCGATACTGTAATATTTTTTAGTTCATGGTTATGCATGAGTATAAGAAAAACTATAACAGAATCGGAGTTTTATATGATATAGACCGACAGTGCAACTTCATCAGATCATGATACACACTGACAACAAATTCATTTGCCTCTAGAGAGAGCCTATGGACAAGGCTAATATTGCTTGTCAAAATGCAAATATGGAGTAAGCTTGTTGGTGCATTACATAGCAGTTTCCAGTAGTGATAGATAAGAGAGCTAAAAATAGACAGTGTGAGGTAAGTCAAAACATATCCTTTTCAGGAGATATGTTAGCTAAGTGCTGGTCCAATGACCAATGTTGTAGGCAAAAGATTGGTTGAGAATGTATGTGTGGTCCTGGAGAGCTTTAAAGATGTTAGTCAACACCTGATTGCATTGACTTAATGCGCTCATGGCATGGTATGTTAGTGCACATGCACTAAAGTAACTTCTTCCATGTTGATATTTATAGCAAATAATGGCATTCTTGCAGATCTTTGACACCTGCAAGGGTGCTATGTTTCTCAGTACAGCAGACTAATATAAAGGTCTCGTGGTTCGCAGAAAATTCATTGTGCGTTTGTCAACTTAACCCTTTGGACGCCATGGGTATCTTTAAAAAAGCAGAGATTGATGTATAACATACTAATGCCTAGTATTATAGCTAGTATATTATGGACTTATGGAAGCTCTGGGCATATATATGCCCGTGGCTTGCTAAGTGTATGCCGCTTAAGGACAACCTCTGAACTAAAATTCACTTCGTCCTTGTTGATATAACATATAATAGCATTGTTGCAGATCCTTGACACCTGCAAGGGTGCCATGTTTCTCACTGCAGCAGACTGCATAATAAAGGTCCCGTGACCATCAGCAATTCATTGGTGTTAGTGTGTTTGTAAGGATATGCCACTAAGGACTACATTTTTTGTACTTTGATGCCGTAGGAGAGTTGAAAACACTACAGCAGAGACAGTGTATATAGTAAGAACCTATAATTTTCCCCAGGAGATCATGCTTATGCAGAGTTCAGCAAACATTGCAGGCAAAAGATTGGTGTGTGTGGTCCTAGAGAGGAAGAGGCTAGTCAATACCTAATTCCATTCATGTATAGGATGTTAAAGCATGCACTATATAAAAGTAAATTATTCAGTGTTGATACTTAATAACATAAATGGCATTCTTGCAGATCTTTGACACCTGCAAGGGTGTTATGTTTCTCACTGCAGCAGACTGCATAATAAAGGTCCTGGTGGCCATCAGAAATTCATTGGTGTTAGCGTGTTGGTAAGGATATGCCACTAAGGACTACATTTTTTGTACTTTAATGCCGTAGGAGAGTTGAAAACACTACAGCAGAGACAGTATAGTAAGAACCTAAGTAAGTAAGAACCTATATTTTCCCCAGGAGATCATACTTATGCAGAGTTCAGCAAACATTGCAGGCAAAAGATTGGTGTGTGTGGTCCTAGAGAGGAAGAGGCTAGTCAATACCTAATTTCATTCATGTATAGGATGTTAAAGCATGCACTATATATTATTCAGTGTTGATATTTAATAACATAAATGGCATTCCTGCAGATCTTTGACACCTGCAAGGGTGTTATGTTTCTCACTGCAGCAGACTGCATAATAAAGGTCCCGTGGCCATCAGAAATTCAGATATGGCACTAAGGACCACATATTTTGTATGTAATTGCAAATATGGAGTAAGCTTGTTGGTGCATTACATACCAGATTCCAGTAGTGATAGATAAGAGAGCTCAAAAGACTTCAACAGAGACAGTGTGAGGTAAGTCAAAACATATCCTTTTCAGGAGATATGTTAGCTAAGTGCTGGTCCAATGACCAATGTTGTAGGCAAAAGATTGGTTGAGAATGTATGTGTGGTCCTGGAGAGCTTTAAGAGGTTAGTCAACACCTGATTGCATTGACTTGATGCATGTATGGGATGTTAAAGCATGCACTAAAAAACAACTTCTTCCATGTTGATATTTATAACAAAAAATAATGGCATTTTTGCAGATCCTTGACACCTGCAAGGGTGTTATGTTTCTCACTGCAGCAGACTAATATAAAGGTCTCGTGGCTCGCAGAAAATTCATTGTGTGTTTGATGTGCCGCTAAGGACAACATTTGAACTAAAATTCACTTCTATATAACAAATAATGGCATTCTTGCAGATCTTTGACACCTGCAAGGGTGCTATGTTTCTCACTGCACCAGACTGCATAATAAAGGTCTCATGGCCATCAGAAATTCATTGGTGTTAGTGTGTTGGTAAGGATATGCCACTAAGGACCACATATTTTGTACTTTGATGCTGTAGCTGATATTATGGAGCTTGCTTAATTATGGTTTTAGTTGGGGTGTTCTAAAAGAATTCCTCAAATAGGGTAGCTAAGCTTGTGAGTCCAAGAATTGTATTAGGATATTCCAGTAGTTATTGATATATAAGAGAGCTCAAAACACTACAGCAGAGACAGTGTGAAGTAAGTAATGACCCAAAATTTGTTCCAGGAGATCATGCTTATGCAGAGTTCCGCAAACATTGCAGTCAAAAGATTGGTGAGTGTGGTCCTAGAGAGGAAGAGGCTAGTCAATACCTAATTCCATTGACTTAATGCATTCATGGTATGTTAGTGCACATGCACTAAAAAATAACTTCTTGGCATCTGAATGCTTATGATAGTGCCACTAAACAAGATCATGACACACACCGACAATGAACTCATTGCACCTGTGGAGGGAGAGAGCCTACAGACAAGGTTATTATTGCTCGCTGATGTAAATTTGCAAACATGAAGAAAGCTTGTGAGTCCAAGAATAATGCATTAGCAGATTCCAGCAGTGATTCAGAGCTACACATCAGATACATGTGTGTTTACAAGTAGCCTGATCCACCGCAGTGATTGATTGATAAGAGAGCGCGAAAGGAGACAGTTTAAAGTAAGTCAGAACCTATCATATTCCCCAGCAGATTCTTATGCACCGGTTCCACATGACTAACGTTGATTGGTTGAGAAAGTATGTGTTGTCCTGGAAAAAAGAGGCTAGTCAACACCTAATCCCATTGACTTGATGCATGTAAAAAAGCCGTCGATAGCAAATTAAAGTGCCAACCCTCGGCGAACTGCGCATGTGCGATTCTGCTAATTGATGGGCTGGGCTATTTGTACTCGCGGTCTCCCGCTAGTAGCTCGCGTAGAGTCTGACATGGGCTAGCTACAGTAGTAGATAGCATGAGGGAATCGATACATGCCATTCGTTGTGACTTCATGAGCCCCCAAGGTACACAGAGCAAGCGGATCAGGTCGCGGTAACCCAGTGTGATTATGCTTTTTCGCTTGTTTTCACGGCGAATGCAGTCGTTTCAGGAAAATCGCCCTTTTGATTTTCAGGCTCGCGTAGTCCTGAAGCCGCTGGTATCGCTTATAGCCCGCCTCGTAGACTGTATATGCGTCACTAGACACAGACCGACAGATAAACCCTCGCTGCGCATGCGCGCCGAGGGTTAATTAGCAATTAGACTGTCAGTTTTTGGTGTGACGTCAATAGTCAGCTACGCATAAAAGCCAGTAGCCCCAGCGGCCTGTAGCAGCCGCGGCCCAACATGAATCCGGATAAACAAAGTCTTGTAGAGGATGCGCCGGAACTCGGATGGAGTCGACGGTTACCATTAAACTCGTTCACGCACCTACCACGAAGGAATTCCTTACGACGGCAATTTTAGAGAAAGTCAAAGCGTACCACCAGCCCCTTTTTTCGGTGTGAGAGGGCCTGGGGCCGAGGGTAGTGCAAGCCCCCCAGACACGAAAAAAACAGAGACGAAACAACAAGATGAGATTGCCGGAAAGGAGCAAAAGGAGCTGACACCTCAACAACTCGTGACGCAATATACGCAGTGGGGTCTCGGGCGAGGGGTAGACATTACCAAGCAAACGCCGTGGATGGAAAAAACGCCGTTCCAAGTGCGCTCTGTACACCTCGACGATCTCATAGAGACGGACGAGGGCAGGCTGCTAAAATTTTACAGCGAGGTTGTCAACAATAGCACGACAATACACCACCAGGTACGCACCGGCGTCAAGGCTCCCGACACTCCACTTACCGTGGGCGTGGACACAGAATACTCTCGCACGGAGTGCTCTTCCAAGCATGTTGTTGGGCTGAAAGTGAAAAATCGCACTATCTCCTTTCGCATGGACTTCAAAGACCTCCCTAAGTCGTGGGTGAAAGAAATGCATATGGCGAGGGAACTGGTGGGGGGAATGGAAGAGGAACACATTACGTCAGTGCAATTGAGATGGGGGGCATGTATTTCAGTATCCTCACAGAAAAAGAATATGAAAGGAAAATGTCTCTCAGTGGAAATGCTTCACTCAATTGTCAGCTGTATGGGGGCTTAGAGCAATCTTTCAAGCAAACGGAAAACAAGAAAAGCAAGTCACAGCACATGGAGCGGAAGATGATCGGAAGAATTACCAAAACCGGCAACAGGGAGGTTGTTGAAAAAGAAAATGAGGCTGTCATAGGATGCCAACTCCAACCAATCAGCAGTCTTGTTAAGCATCCGTATATTCAGCTTGCGGTGAAAAAAGCAGTTAAAGAATACACCAAAACAAAGATTAGCAGTAAGTGAAAAAAATTTTGGGCATGAATGATAAGTATAAGAGTAGAATCAGTTGACTAACTACTAACTTCATAAGTCTATGCCCTTTTTATGCTTTAGCTTTGTAGATGAAGGAGATGCCCAAGGATATGTTCAGCGAGTTTAATTTTATAGCTGGTTTGTAGAATTATGCTAGAACATGCTTTTGGCAAGAAGTGATTGTGTATTTTATGCATGTAGCTAAACAGACTGCATTAATTATGATGGTGACCGACCATTGATTGAAAAGTGGACTGGTTTTACTTGCCAATAACTTATATACTGATGTAATACTGATTTCTTTTTTTTTCATAGCTGGCGGGCCTTATATCATATCATGTGGAGATTCATGCCCAATGTATTTGATGGTTGATGGAGAAGACAAGAAACTAACCATCACATACCAAAAGACAGAGGCAGAGGCATTTTCCATAATGACTGTAAATGATAGACTTAATCACCACGAGTTAGAATTCTCCCTAACTAGCAATCTGTACCAGTTCAAGAAGAAGCGACAGTCAAAAGATAAGGAGTCTACTACACTTGAAGACAAAGTCGTAGGGCTCCAGTATATGCTGGAAGTAGATGTGAATCGCATAACTGGTCGTGGTCAAAGTGCTCCAAAAATGAAACTCTGTTCAAGCCATCGAAGAACACGACTGTTGCTGAAAAAGCGATCCGACCGCAGAATATCAAGTGACACCAAGGACTGGATCAAGGGAACAGAAGCATACTACATAGAGTGTATGAATGCCATTGGAACGGGTTTTCTGTGTGTCAACGACAGAACCAGCTTCCGCAGGGGTGAGCTTCGTAAGAATGGAACCATACCTCCATTAGGCGATGAAGATAGTATAAAAGGACGTCTTAAGGTGTGTGTTGTGGGATCTAGTTCGGCTAAGATGGAAAATCGCTATTTTATGTTATTTACACTGCAGCCTCAACAGCCACCCAAGAACACTCAGCAGGCTAAAATCAGGGTTCAGCAACCCCAACAACCACCAAGGGGTGGATTGGATCAAACAGTGGAGCAATATCCACCCGATATTTCGCAACAGCCAAGCAGTGTTCAGCCACCCCAACAACCACCAAGGGAACAAGCAACGATGATGGCGTATCCTCCAATGCCAGTGGAACAGCAACAATCTGATTCCCAACAGGAAAATGAAAGTGTTGACGTAGTTTAAGAAACCATAATTATTGTTACTCATAATTATTTTCTCCCAACTTACTCATCACTATATATTTTTTACCATCGTACAGTTGTGTTTTTGTTTACACCTTTGTTCATTGTTATTGTATTTAGCTACTTCATAGTTTCCCACCCAAATAGGAATTCTATTTTTTTTCACTATGTATAATATACCAAATTCTAGCTTTATAAGGTGTATGACCTCTTGTGTTCACACTCCCCTGCCCACTTTGTTATAAGCGTTTAGGTTTTGTTTTGTGCACAAATTATATATGGCCACAAATTAGTTTCATTGCTTAGCTACCAATTTTATCATGTACCAAATAATAAAATTGGCTGAAACCCCATCCCTACATCTTTGGCTAAGGCCTGTTAACACATCTGATTGACTAATGCATTTACAGATTTTGTTAGTGAAGTGAAAGTGAAAGAGAGTAAAAAATGTACTGACATGAAGAGGCCCAGTTTATCCACACTCATCGGGCACTCAGTGATAAGACATGCATGAAAGTATGTGATTGGAACCCTATCAGAAGTCTCTTCCTCAGACAGTTGTACTGGAAACTGTCTGAAGAACAGACTTCTGATAGCTGAGCTACCCATTGGCGACATTGTCAACAGAATATATTTTATGTAACTTCAGGGAGGTCAAACTGTTTGGTGTTTGTTCATAATGAATGAAATGCACTTGGCTAACACTCCACTCGAATATATATAACCCTGGACAAAAAAAGAATAATATTATAATACACCACCTCATAAAGTCTGCTAGAAATTTCTACGAGCTAGCTTTAGCAAAGAGCTAATCTAGTGCTCCAACTCTCATTGCATCCAAGAGCCCCCTGAAACTACACTTGAAATGCTATTCTAAACGTGACCTAAAGCTCTACTGGTCTACGTACCGTAGTGACCTGGAAGAAGAAACGACCGCCACGTGACTGTCATACCTACCAACCTGCAAATGAACCTTTGCTTGAGAAATGTGTCAAATTTGCTTGATTTGAAGTATATATTTTTGCTTGAAAATGCTGTGTGTCCATTCAAAATGTATAGGCATGATGCATCACAGGTTAGCACAAAAAGAGGGATTTGGCGATTTCCTGGAGGGATAGGCAGTATTTTTACTTGATTATCATTCAAAAAGCGGGATTGATTGGTAGGTATGGACTGTGCACACCTATATCAAACGTGTTCGTGAACAAAATCAGCCTTGTTCCGGTAAAGATAATTAGAGAGTCGGTAGACTCTCTATATAGGGATGACACGGGTGAAATCTCACGTGATCCGCGTACAAAACGACTAAAAACTCGGTGAGAATCACTCCCTAGGCCTTCAAAACATACTAGAAATAGTCTACGGGCCCATATCTACCTATACATGTCCCCCAAGACCTCATACGCACCTCCAGTCGTCCACGGGAGAATTCGCTCATACGCGATTTCACAATTTTCGTGTCATCATATTCTTCATCTTCTTCTTCTTCTTCTTTAAACCCGCTATCTCCTTACCAGTACCAGTTCAAGCACTGATTTTTTCACTGAAGGTCTCCAATTTCGCCGGAGGTGTGCACGGACATCAAGCGATCGTTTCTTTCTTGCCGCTATATAGTCACTACGGTAGATCATGGAGCTCTTCCTTGGTCGACACTGAACAACGCCATTTGCTGCTTACTCAGCATCGGTGAGCCTCGCACATGCGCGAGGCAGGGGCGTTGTCCAATGCGGTTGCGAGCGTATTACCAGGCGAGTTGGCAGACCTGCAGAGAAACTCTCAACCTCCAGTACCTTCTGTAAGTAAGTGTGCACATTTCCAACTGGCTAGCTTGCTGTTGATTTGCACGAAGAGCAACTTGCCAGAGTCTACGCTGTGTTACGCGAGCCTCGCGGGGCACTCAGTCAAACGGGCCTTCTTTGTTTGTCCCCCAGGTTGTAGCCTGATTACCAAAGCCTGCCCATGAACCACAACCATGTGCAATAATCTAATTACAAACTCCTTTTTGAAGACAATACATGAGGTGAATGCGGTATCTAGCCCCTGCTTCAGCACCATTATAGCTACTACTTTCAACAGTTACAATTTGTCTATGGTAGCCTATCTACAACATACCCATGAACATCAGAGTGACTATAACAATAAATGTAGTGTTGTCATAAGCTGTTAAAAAAATAGTGGAAACAAGTGGAAAAATCATTTCTTCAAAATGAAAGGGGGATATAGGGATGGCTTGAAGCACCAAAAAGGAAGAAACAGGGGTCATTACACAGCAAAGTTGCACAAAGCTACATGACACCATCCCTATATCTTTGTTTTATTGTTTATAAGCAAAGTTTAACCCTTTGGACACTATGGGTATCTCCTTAAATAAGCAGAAATTGATGTATAATATATTAACGCCTAGTATTATAGACATGATAATACATTCTTATGGACTTATGGAGGTTCTGGGCATATACATGCCCGTGGCTTGCTAAGGGTTAATATCGAACAAAGATATAGGGATGGTGTCATGTAGCTTTGTGCAACTTTGCTGTGTAATGACCCCTTGTTTCTTCCTTTTTGGTGCTTCAAGCCATCCCTATATCCCCCTTTCATTTTGAAGAAATGATTTTTCCACTTGTAATTATACGTACATGGCAAATAGCTAGCGGACCCGCCATTTTAAAAATGAAGCCAATGTAACGCTGAACACGTTGGCGTCGCCTTTTTTGTTGAGAGTGAAACTACCAGAAGAAAGTAGAAACAGAACGGTAATGTGTAGCCCGACGTTGCCTTGCCCGCTCCCGCTCTCCATCTCGTAATCCTCGCTAAAAAAGACGAGCCTCTCTGTCGTGAGGACTTTCTACTGCCGGGCGTTCTGTCTGTCTACCTCTTTGAACAGAAGCAGTATCGTTGCCTTGTCCGCTCTCCATCTCGTAATCGTCACGAAAAAATACGGGGTAACCCGTGAGGACTTTCGACGGCCGATGTACCATACCATAATCCTGCAGCTACACACTGAGAATGAGTGTTTGTGCAAAAATTATACGTATTTCTTGTGCAGTAGATTAAGCGCTTATCTGTTGCACCTTTAGCCGGTATAATACCACCTCTTAGAGGAAAAAGCCTTCCTGGGTAAGTTAGTGTAAGCGCTGGCAAGGACAGCTTGTTATTAATCTCGGCGCGCATGTGCAGCGAGGGTTACAGTAGCCGTTCTGTCTGTCCGTCCGTCTGTTACCACGATTTCTGCCACCACGCGAAACAAACAGGTAAAATAGCAACACCAGCGGGTTCAGCGCTACACTGGCTTTATTTTGAAATAGGCGATTTTCAAGTGCCGCGTTCAGAAGTTATGGCGTGAAAACCAAGTGAACAAGCCAATATGCTAATTAGCACTGGCTTACCTCGACCTGATCCGCTTGCTCTGTGTACCTCGGAAGCACAAGAAGCCACAACGAAGGGCGTGTATCGACTCCCGCATGCTATCTACTACTGTAGCTAGCCCGTGTCAGACTCTCCGCAAGCAACTAGCGGGAGATCACGAGTAAATGTATAGGCCTAGCCCATCAATTAGCGGTACCGTGCATGCGCAGTTCGGCGAGGGTTTGCACTTTAGTGCTTTTCATTTTTATTTTAGTTGTATTTTGCTTTACTGATCTGTATGTGTGTGTGGGGGGATTTGAACCAAAAGACAGGTGTTCTTAGATAAATTCAAGGTCGCCCCCGGTACTTTGAGGATCTTGCAGTAGATTATACCAAATACGCAAGCTGTTGTGTATGTAATTAAATACACAACAGCTTGTAAAAACAATCTGTTTACAAGCTGTTGTGTATCTAATTTGATAGCTATGCAAAAACAATCCGTATTTGCATGGTGGGCACCATTCATTTTAAACAAATGACTTGAAATGATTATCACTCTATGGCCCCTGTTGGTATTATGCTTGTCCCGGACCAACGTTCACGGGATCATCCCACCTACATTGTGTGTAGGGCCCCCCACCTACATTTTGCTGGGAATGTTATAGATGGCTTGAAACCAAAAAGGAACAAACAAGGGGTCACTACACTACACAGCTAAGATACACAAAGCTATGTCAATGTCACCATCCCTATATCTTTGTTGGTCATTTTTTGCCCATGAATAAATAAAACAACGATATGGGGGTGGTGTCATGTAGCTTTGTGTCTCTTAGCTGTGACATAGTGACCCCATGTTTCTTCCTTTTTGGTGCTTCGAGTCGTCCCTATATCCCCCTTCATTTTGAAGAAAATTATTGTTTCCATTATTTTTTCTAAACAGCTCTGGCAAACAATGACAGAGGCGTTTTAGTTGTTTAGCGA